CACAGAGGTTGCTGTGAGCTGTGATGCCATGGCACTCTACCCAGGGGGACAGCTTGAGGCTCTGTCTCACAAAAAAAAAAAAAAAAAGAAGAAAGAAAAGAAAAAAAAAAGGTTTAAGATGGAGGAGTAATCAACTAGCACCATCAGTTGCTGCAACAGAGAGCACCTGGAGAATGAAGATAGAATAAAAACATTTAGTGTGAGAACATATTCGGTAATCTTTGAGAGTGAAGTTTTAGTAATAGGAAAGAAAGTTGACTGCTGAAGAGAGCAGGCTTCAAGAGAACTTTGTGGTTTATCGTTCTTCAATTGTGGCTCATTAATACCACATACTAGCTTCCCTCTAATCCTATGTGATTTCTTCATCTATGTGGATAATCTCTTTGTCACCTGGTCTTACAGTGCAGAGATCTTTTTTTCCAGTGATCTTATCCTCTATTCTTTTGCATCTATCTACTTCTGTAGTCATTATTATTAGATGAAATTGTGCATCTACAAAATTGATTCAGTCATCCTTTCTAAATGCCAGCTTATATATTTCTAGCTTCCTTAAGTGCTCCCACTGTGACTATACTTTAACTTTATGTAGCCTTCTAGTCCACTAATCCCTTTATTTTAGCCTTTTATTCTCTCTTTTCCTTGTTATCCAGGGTAGATTCTATATTTCATTTTAATAACTCTTATTAATACTTCAAATTTGTTTCCTATTTGATTTTTCTTGCTTCTTTATGAAACAGCTACAATCCTGAATAACTCAGCAATATGTTTTCTCTTGGCCTATGCCTGATGTGACAAGGAAAATCTCACAAGTGTACAGATAGGTACCAGTATAAATTCATAATCACTGCTCATCTCTCTGGACCATGAAACCCTACCTGGTAGCTCTAATATTTTCTGTGGTCAGCTTATTCTTTCCACAAGGACTATTTGAAATCTTTGATTCTCCTCAAATCTCTATCTTTGCCCTTATTCTTAACAGAAGTCATCTTCCTTTTCATAAAGAAAACAAAACTATTAGATTAGAATTAATTTAACCTTCCATCTAATTCCAAAGGAAGGTGTTTCTGTAGCTTTCTTTAAGGTTCAGTCTCTCTACCTGTCTTTGTTTCTGTTTCTTCTCATTGATTATCCTTCCTTCCCCTTTATTACAGGTTTCCTCCTCTTAACTGGCTCAAGTTAGCATTTACATAGGTTCTAGTACATCTAACATTAAAAAAAAAAAAGGAAAGCAAAAGGTCCCTTCTTTGACCTCATTTCTTCTTCTAGCTATTTGCCAGTCTTTCTCTCCTTAACCAGTTTTTTAAAGAGTGTTCTGTACTTGCTATCTTTATATCCATTCCTTAGTAACTTTTTTCCTCACCAAACTGCTCTTATTAAAGCTATCAGTGACCCTCATTGAATTATTTCCAGTGTGTATTTTATATCCTCATCCTGTTGGCCTCTAATAAGCTATTAGTTTTAACCCAATCCTCTTTGGCTTCCACTAAGAAGCAGCAGTTTTCTTCCTACTACTCTAGGAATAATGGGAAGCCACTGAAATATTTCAACAGGATAGGACCAGTGTTAGTGTGCTGAATGAATTGAAAGGCAGAGGATATGACTAAAGTAAAGAAGATCAATTACGAAAGTTTTGTAATAGCCTAAGTCAGAGAGGGTGTTTGCATGGATTAGAGTGGTAACGATTGATTTAGGAAGAGCTGAACAAATCAAAGGAAATTTAGAAGAAAATATCAACAGGATTTTCTGATGGATCGAATATAAGGGGTTAAGAAAGCAAGATTTACCTCTTGTGACTTAGGCTTCGAGGACAGGTGAGATGCCATTTACCAATGAAGAAAACCCTGGAAGGTTAGGAATTTGGGGGTTCTCGTCATGTTGAGTTTTAGGAACATTTGAGAATCTGAATGAGTATGTTAGGAGGGAAGTTGGATGCTTGCTTTGGCGCACACATACTAAAATTCTAATGAGATTAGCATGGCTCCTGCACAAGGATGACACACAAATTCATGAAGCATTCTATATTTTTTAAAAAAGGGAAGTTGGATATATCAATCTGAATATCAAAGGAGCAACTGATATAAATATTGAAATTGTGTTGATATGTAAGTGCTATAATAGTTTAATTGAAATCATGCATTTAAAAGAAATCATCTAGGGAAAGAGTACAGAATAGGAAAATAATAATTCTATGATTTGAAAGTTGATTGAAATAGGATGAGTTGGCAGAGAAGACTGAGGAGCAACCACAGAGGTAGGAGATCATCATATTAAGGAAATTTGGGAAAGAGAATTTTTTAAGAAAGTGAGCAAGCATTTTTGTACTCATTCAGTTACGTCATTTATCTCATATAATGCTAATTGCTTATTTGCATATTGATGTACCTGATATTTTATGTTCTTTTAGGGGTTATGGGTTGATCTATTTTGGGAATCAGCAAATATTTTCTGTAAAGGGCCCCATAGTAAATATTTTAGGTTTTGTGATCCATATGATCTCTTCTCCAACTACTTACCTCTATAGTTGTAACACGGAAACAGCAATATGCAAAACATAAAAAATGAATGTCACTATGTATTAATAAAACTTTATAAATACTAAAATTTGAATCTCCTAATTTTCATGGGATGAATTTTTTTTTTAATAATTTAAAATATAAAACCATCCTTACCTTGTGGGCTGTACAAAAATGAGAGTAGACCAGAAGAGTGACCCTTTACCTGTAACTTAGACTTGTGCCTGACTATAATAGACACTCAATAGCTTTTGGTTTAATGAATTGTTAAATAAGTGCTTATCTAGTTCATATGTGCTTTGAGATGGGTGTGCAGGGAGGTCATGAAGGTGAGTTTTTCTCTTCAAGCTCTAAAAGCAAGAATTCATTCTTTCTTTAGGGTCATTTTTCTTTCTCAGAGGTGAATTTTCATTAAAAGTCAGGGTAACATTCTGGCATACCTACCAAGTGTCCAGAAGACTGTTTTAACTTTTTGTAAATGTATAATGATGTTACTTGAGCTACAGAAAAGAAAAACTGAGTTCTAGCACTTCCTAGGATGTATAGAATTTTTGGCTTTTTAATTAATACTTGAGGTTTTTAAAAGCACATCTATAGGTAGGAAATCATACCTTTATGCTTTTCAGAATCCTAATTATTATTATTATTGTCCTTGAATGGTTTTCTTCATTTGATGTAAGTTATCTAAGACCATACTGGGTCTGTAGGACATGGACTCTGCACTCATGTTGCTAGAATTTAACATAAGAGACAGTCAGTAGATAAACATACTAATACATGATGATACAACCTGTGAAGTGTACCATGATGGAATTTAACAGATGTGATGTTATAGATTAATTATGAAGGAAGGACAAGGATAGTTAAGGTGATCAGAAAATGTATCTCTTGGAATGTACCATATATGTCAAGACTTAAGCTACAATGAGTTAGATGGGGCATGAGTACTTAGGTAGAATTATAATATGTGTGATAACCCTGTCCCATGAGAGCTCAGTTGTAGATGTAAATAAGGCATCTACCTTCCAGTAATCCCCAAATAATTGATTATACATATAGAGATTAGTATATATTGGCTTTTCTTAAAATTAGCTATTTTGTACTAAGAAATAACTTAAGCTTGGGGATCAAAATTGGCTAGTAAAAAGAAATTACTGATTTCCAGTCTTTCCTGCATTCATTGAAAACTATTCAGCTGAAATTATGGTGCTGTTATATGCATGACTTGATAGGCAAATGATAATAAAATGATGGGGGATGGGCACAGTAGCTCACACCTGTAATCCTAGCACTCTAGGAGGTCCAGGTGGGTGGATTACTTGAGCTCACAGGTTCAAGACCAGCCTGAGCCAGAGTGAGACCTCATCTGTAAAAATAGTCAGGCATTGTGGCAGGTGCCTATAGTCCCAGCTACTCAGGAGGCTGAGTTAAGAGAATAACTTGTGCCCAAGAGTTTGAGGTTGTCGTGAGCTGTGAAACCATGGCACTCTACTGAGGGTGACAAAGTGAGACTCTGTCTCAAAAAAAAAAAAAAAGAAAAAAAAAAGATACTAAAATGATGAAAATAGTTGCTATAGAAGGACTTTGTAGCACCAAACTTAAAATGTACCACATCAATATTGCAAAAGAAAATGATTCTACTACAAAAATGTGACAGACAAAGGTATCACCATAACAGATGCCTTAAGTAAAAGTGTGGCCAATGGTAGAACTTGTGAATCATTAGTAGGAAGAAGACAGAACAGATTAGGGAGAGAAAAGAGTGAGGCAAGTAGAATAAGAGTAAGTGGAAGGGTAGTGAGAATCTTGCTTGGGAAGAGTAAAGGAGGAGGACAAAAGGAAATAATACAAAGAAAAGGAGAAGAAAGGATGTAAATATTTTAACAGAAGCCTCCTTTAGTAGCATAGTTTTATACAGGGCAAAACTGTAGAAAGGTCTTTCAGTTTTAGGAATAAATGTGAGTATCTCATACCTGTTGCCTAATCAGGTGAGAAGATCTATTTTATATATTTATTTTTTGAGACAGAGTCTCACTTTGTTGCTCTCAATAGAATGCTGTGGTGTCATAGCTCATGCAACCTCAAACTCCTGGGCTTAAGCTATTCTCTTGCCTCAGCCTCCCAGGTAGCTGGGACTACAGGCCCCCACCACAATGCCCAGCTATTTTTATTGTAGTTGTTGTAGTTGTCATTATTGTTTAGCTGGCCCCACTAGTTTGAACCCACTAGCCTGAGTCTATGTGGCTAGCATCCTACCCACTGATCCATGGGCGTTACCAGGTGAGAAGATCTAAAAGGTCTTCGTTTACTAGTCTTCTACTTTAGAATCTTTATTTTTGCAATATTTCACTTTGAAAACTCAATATGAAAAATTACACACTTTTATTGCATTTTAATATTTTAAAATATTTATAGATATTTGTTTTAAAATAAAATGTATATACCATGTAGTATGTTGTATTTATTTACTCATAATGTTCTTTTAAGTGTTTCAGGCTGCATGTACCAAGTAGTGCAGACGATTGGCTTGGATGGAAAAAATCTTCTGCAGTTACTTCCAATTCCTAATTCTTCTGGGAATCTTACACCGCTAGTTCAATCTCCAGTCATGTCTGATGCTTTAAAGGGGAATACAGGAAAACCAGTTCAAGTTACCTTTCAGACTCAGATTTCCAGGCCTTCCACAAGTTCATCAGTTCAATTGCCCATTTTTCAGCCAGCCAGTTCTTCAAACTATTTTCTTACAAGAACAGTAGATACAGCAGAAAAAGGTAGAGCTACTACTGTGGGCACTGAAAACTTAACTTCATCAGTTTCTAAAGTTCAAAGTCATGGTGTGAAAATTGATGGACTCACCATGCAAACATTTGCTGTTCCTCCCTCCTCAACACAAAATGATTCATCTTATATTGTAATTAATACCCAGAGTCTTCCAATGACTGTGAAGTCTCCAGTTTTGCCTTCTGGGCATCATATACAGATTCCAGCCCATGCTGAAGTGAAATCTTTACCAGCATCATCATTGCCTCCTTCAGTTCAGCAAAAGATATTGGCAGCTGCAACCACAAGTACCTCAGGAACAGTTGAGGCATCCCAAATGCCAACCGTTATTTATGTATCTCCTGTAAAAACAGTGAAAAATGTAGTGACCAAGAACTTTCAAAACATTTATCCAAAACCTTTTACGGAAATAGCAAAGCCGATGATACTAAGTACTACACAAATTCCAATGAATGTTGCTACAGAGACACAATTGAAAGGTGGTCAGCATTCTCAGACTGCTCCAGTGAAATGGATTTTTCAAGAAAATCTACAGCCTTATACTCCATCTCTTGTTCCTATTAAGTCTTCAAATAATGTGGCTTCAAGGATTTTAAAAACTTTCGTAGATAGGAAGAGGTTGGGAGATAATACCATAAGTATGCCACCATTGAGTACCATCGGTCCTAATGCAACACAATCCAAAAGTATGTCAATTAAAGATAATGCTCTGGTTATGTTTAATGGGAAAGTCTATCTATTGGCTAAAAAGGGGACAGATGTTCTGCCATCACAAATTGACCAACAGAATTCTGTTTCTCCTGATACTCCACTAAGAAAAGACACTTTACAGATAGTGAGTCCAAATCCAGTCACAGAAATATCCAAAGAGGTTGTAAATATTGTGTTGGCTAAAAGTAAATCTTCCCAGATGGAGACAAAATCACTTTCCGATACCCAGCTTGCTTTCATGGCCAATCAAAGGGCAGAGAAGAATAAAAACATTGAGAAATTATCTCCTTCTACCACAAATCCACATAATATGAATCAATCCAGTAACTGCTTAAAACAGAGTAAGACTTTATTCACAAATCCACTCTTTCCAGATGGATTTAGTACAGGACAAAATGCCCCCAGAAAAGGAAATATCATCCAGAGCATAGAGAAAATAAGTTCCTCTGTTGATGCAACAACTATTACTTCACAACAGTGTGTTTTCAGAGACCAAGAACCAAAGGTAATTTTCCCATGTTAGGATGTTCTTTTTTATATATTTATATAGAAACTTCTTCTTTCTTAATTCTCAAAGTTATCTATGATACCTCTTCTCCCACCCACCCTTTACACACATACTATACATACATGAATGATTGAATGATTAATTAAGTCAAAGCTTTCACCAGAGTAAATATTTGAGGAGGAGTACACTTGGGATTGTCCAAGCAATATCTTTTTCTTGAATTACTTGGCATGCCAAATCTTGAAAACAAAAACAAACAAAAACATCACAAAGCAATAAGATTTAGAAGAGTCGGAGACAATGCGAATTCAAAGTTTAATAAAATTGTGTGAGTATATATATGTGTATATATGTACATACAGATGCGTACATACACGTATATGTACATGTATACTTAATAGCCTACTTTTTAGCATATGAAGAGATCAGTACTATGCATATAGGAGAGTAGGGTTTTAGCATTTTATAGATTTTTGTATATGTGTGTGCATGTGTGAGTGTGGTGGTGAGATACTGAGCAGTTTTTTTAGGTAGCCCATGGAAGAGGTGAGACAGGACTAGTTAGTACGTTTTAGTAGTTTGTAGAAATTAGGATTTTATCAACATCTTGGAATGGTGGAATATATTTGGTACACAATTTCCTTTTTTTAGCTCTTTCTGGCTTGTCTAATCACCCAACATACAATTACCTTTCTGTTCTACTGAAAGTATATGTCTATGTGCTTACCAAATATTTGTACTTACCTTCTCCTTACTTATTTTAGAGGTCTATCTAAGAATGTATTTCTTCCCTCCAATACAGAATTCATTGAACTATAGAGATGCAAAGATGTGAGTTCTGATTATTAAATTCAAGATTTATTAAAGGCAAAAGACTTGTCCAGAAAACTACAATTTCTAAATAATGCGATATAGATTATTTTAAAGTTGTCATTGTTTGCGTTCTTATTTCAGTTGACTGAGAATTGAGCCCTTTTTACCTATCTAGGACAACAAATTAAAGAGTGATAGGGAAATATTTTAAGTTTGTACTTAGTTACTTTGAGTTGTTCGAGTGTGAGTGGCAAGGGAAATGCAAACCAACCACTTAGGATTTTAAAGCTTCGTATGTTCTTTTGTATAAGATAAGATAATCACTTAGTTGCTAATTTTATAAAATAACTTAAGTAATTACCACTATTTTTTGTTTTCTTTTTCCTAATTCCAGATCCAGAATGAAATGGCATCAACATTAGAAAAAGGTACTAAAGAAAGAAACAAGAAAATTTTGCAAGGAAGAAATAATAAGATATTGTCTCTGAAGAGTGATGCTGAATTTAAAAAGATATTTGGTCTCACTAAAGATTTGAGAGTGTGCCTTACTCGAATTCCTGACCATTTGGGCTCTGGAGAAGGTTTTCATGCCTTTAGCGGTTTGAAGAGTGATGATTACAAAGATACAGAGTTTATGGTGAAGGCAGAAGAAGGAAAACAGGTAATAGATTTTAAAGTGTTCTCTGTAGATAATACAAATATATATAGATATATGAATTTTTTTAATTTTGTGTTTAGCTTGTGTATTAGTATGAATGGTGATTGTTGCCAGATTTACATATATATACACATATACCAAAACAATGATAAAAAGAACCACGTATGCACAGGTAAAAGTGCATCCTAAGTTAGTTAAAGATGTTAAGTATTTTTGTTTAATTATTTATTTTCCATTATAATATAAGAAAATAGCTTTGTCTTTTTAACTAGTTATCCTACTATGTAGACTCTAAAGGAAATAATCCAAGTAAGTGGAAAGTATAAGCATGCAGGTGTTCATTGCAGTAATACTCTTAATCCAAACATTTTAAGCAACCTATATCGTTAATAATGATGAAAAGAAACGTCCCTATAACTTTGCCTATTGTACTATTTTGTTTAGTCATATATCATTAATTAATAATTCTGAATTTTAGATCTGAGATCAGTCAAGCATTCTCAAATATTCCATATGTGCCTACTATTCAATGGAAAAGAAAAAAATTAAATCAATTGTATTTTTCAGGCACTACATAAGTGCCATTATATTTTGGTGGTAGGTCAATGTCTTCTCATATTTCAGCAAGAAAATGTGAATTAGGCAATTTATCCTTGATATAATTAGGACATTGTTACTCATTTTGGTACTTTACAGTAGGAAACATTTCTTACTATAGTCCTATAAGTATTGTTGAATTAATTATAATTGGCTAAATATTTGTTTCTGCAAACTTTGTTAAATTCGACAGCACTATATATATATAAATATATATATATAAATAATATGTGGCAATGACAGTCTGTTTTTCTTTTGGAATCTTATTTGATATTGCAACAGAGTTTTGATAAGAAAAGAAAAGCAAAATCCATGAAGAAGATGGATCGCACAAAGAAGAGAAAAACTGAGAGTGCTCATGACACAGTCATAAATGGGGAAACTAATGTCACTAGTTACCAGCTCCATAGTAGTGTTTTACCAACTTCAGATGTATCACAACATAATATTCACACAAGCTGCAGCAAAAGCAGGGAAGAAAAGAAAACCGAGATAGAACACCATATCCATGAAAAGCAAGAGAAAGGCTCCTTGAATTCGAATGCAGCTTATGAACAAAGCCATTCCTTTAATAAAAATTATGCTGAAGATATTTTTCCTACAACACCACCAGAGTTAGAAGAAACCATTCGAGATGAAAAAATAAGAAGACTTAAGCAGGTGCTGAAAGAAAAAGAAGCAGCTCTTGAAGAAATGCGTAAGAAAATGCACCAAAAATAATAAAATCTTTTACATGTAAAGACTTCAATTAAATGGCTATTTTGTTTTGTTTTTTTAATTTCAGAATATTACTGGGTACACATGTTTTGGTTACGTAATTTACTTTTGTATATTTTAAGTCAACGTTGTAAGTGTACCCTTCACCCAGAATGTGTGCATTGTACAATTTAGGTATGAATTAACCCAACCTCTTTTCTCCCCTTGCATTTACTTGATTACTGTTGAGTATTACTTTTTAAATATATTTTATCATATTAATAAGTTAATTGTAAATGTATTCTGAAAGTGTCTTTTGATATGAAACTTGCTTTTTTTGTCACTTGATTGTACAATTTTATTTAAGGAATGCAGGAAAAAAGTTGATTCACATAAGGTTTGTGAATAATCTGTGTGAGGGTATCAAAACCTTTGTCTTCGATACCTTTTTTTGGAAGGAAAAATTTTCTGTTTTCTGTTGTTTTAATTTTGGTTCTACAAGTTTGAATATTTTTGCAGGATTTTTATTGTTTATATCTTCAGCTAAATTGCTCAGGTATTACTGTAATAGATAATTATTGTAAACTATTAAAATTCTACAATCCAAGAGAAATATCAGCGCTAAACTTAGCTTTACCACTGAATTTGCATATATACTTGTTTGGACTTTTTACCCATAAAGTCATGATATACGCTACTTACCATTTCGTTAATTTTTGTTTCATCAAAGGAAAATGTATTATGGTAGCATTATTTAAATATTCAAACATTTCTAAAGAGTGAGGGATACTTGTTTTGTAACTTGACAGAGTGATTTTATGCAATCCAAAATTTGCTTTGAATTCAGGCTATTTGGTACAATGTTTGCTCAAAGTGATGTTTATTCATATGCAAATGTTTCTTTTTCTACAGTGGGGAGGGGGAGAAATATGTACATATATTAGATTGTGTGAAAGATCTGAACCGTAGTCTCATTTAATACTTTTAAGATCATCAAGTATTTTTTTATCTGGTTAATCTTTGATTTGGGAGAATTTGGGAGTGGTGTGGAGATAGAAATTAAGAGAAGGGAGATAGATCCCCCTGGAAGAGAGGTTAAAAAAAAATCTGTACAATAGCAAAAAAAGAAAATAGTAAATCAGAACAGTACTAAAAGGAAATGAAACAAATACAAATGTCAAGTTTTTTCTTTTTAGTAATAACTTTACTAAAATATAATTCATTGGCAGTGTGCACCGGCTCATGTCTATATTCTTTGCACTTTGGGAGGCCAATGAGGGAGTATCTCTTGAGTTCAGGAGTTCCAGACTAGCCTAAGCGAGACCCCATTTCTACTAAAAAGAGAAAAAATAGCTGTGCGTTATAGCAGGTGCCTGTAGTTTCAGCTACTTGGGAGTTTGAGACAGCTAACTCATTAAGTTCTCTATGGCCTTAAATTACTATTTTAGGATTGTTTGAACCCAGGACTTTCTGGTTGCTCTAAGTGAGGTTAATGCCACAGTACTCTAGGGCCATGGAGACTCTTATCTCAAAGAAAAAATATAATTCATATACCATAAAATTTAACCTTATAAAGTATACAATTCACTGTTTTTTATTATATTCACAGAGTTGTACAAACATCAACACTTTTAAGGACATTTTCAACACTCCAAAAAAAACCTGATACCCACTAGAAGTCACTCCCCATCTTCTCTCTTTCCTCTCAAGGCAACCACTTAATATACTGTTTTTATGGAATTACCTATTCTGAACATTTCATATACTGGAATCACACAATTATTTTCTTTTGTGATTGATTCTTTCACTTAGCCTGATACTTTCGATGTTTCCCTGTGTAGCATATATCAATACTTTATTCCTTAATAATATTCCATGATATGGATATACCACCATTTGTTTATCTGTTCATCTGGTTATGGACATTTTGGTTATTTTCACTTTGGGCTACGAGTTTTATATGGATATATGTTTTTAATTCTCTTGAGAATATACCTAGAAGTGTAATTGCTGGGTCATATGGTAACTCAGTGTTTGACATGAGAGCAACCGACAAACTTTTATGCTTTGCTTCCCGTATTCCACTGAAACAGATCTTGTCAAGGACCCAGTAACTTCCATGTTGCTAGATACCAAAATGTGATTTCATGCATTACTTTCTTTGAAAAAGTGTTTAAAATATTTCATTAATGAAGCAGTGCATATGTATTGTAGAAATTTATAAAATACAACAAACTAACATACCAAAAATTAAAACTCTATGACAGCGCCCTTACTCAGTGGATAGGGCACCAGCCACATACACCCAGGCTGGCGGGTTCTAGCCCAGCCAGTTCAGCTAAAACAACAGTGACGACTGCAACAAGAAAATAGCCAGGCGTTGTAGCAGGCACTTGTAGTCCCAGCTACTTGGGAGGCTGAGGCAAGAGAATCACTTAAGCCTAAGAGTTTGAGGTTGCTTGGGAGTGACACCACCGCCCTCTACCAAGGGTGACAAAGTGAGACTCTGGTCTCAAAAAATAAATAAAATAATAAAAACACTTTGCACTCCCCTCTTCCAGAATTTACCACTGCTAACACCTTAGTATGACACCTTAGTATATATCTTTCTGGATCTTTCTCTGTGCCCCATATATACTCATACATTTTTACGAAAATAAGGTCTTTATTGATACGGTTCTGATTCCTGCTTTTGAATTCAACAAGCTTCAGCTTTTCCTCTCAATAACTTTTTATCTCTTCTAATACTCTAGCCGAATTTACCAGTTTGACTCCTGAATGTCATTTATCACTGGCTTTTCCAAAGCAGTATTAAATTCTCAGATTATGCATTTTATCTAGCTGTTATGCCATGTAGAGCTCTTCTAAATTTGTATTTGTTTTAAAAGTGGGCATGATTTATTTGAAAGACCAGCCAATTTTCCTGATTCCTTTCTCCTTAATGTACTTTCATTTCATTTCTAGAAGACCACACACACTGCTACCTCATTGATTGCTCATTCTGTCTCTTTGCTCATTCCTTCCCTCTAATCTCTTCACATATAAGTACCCCATATCTTAGTCCTTGGTTTGCTTTTCACTTATACTTACTCTCTTGTTAATCTCATTAAGTTCTCTATGGCCTTAAATACTATTTTAGGTGCTGACGACTTACAGATTTTTCTCTTCATTACCAGACGTCTCTCAAATTTCAAACTTGCATAGCCAACAGCCTATTTAATAATTAGATGACTAAATAAACACCAAACTTTTGCCCAAAACTGAAATCCTGCTCTTAATCTCCACAATTTGCTATTGTACCCCCATATACCACTGTTTTTGTAGGAGGTAAGACTGAAATGTGTTCTTCAAAAATGATGGCTGAGCCAGGCACGGTGGCTCATGCCTATAATCCCAGCACTGTGGGAGGCTGAGGTGAGAGAATTGCTTGAGTTCAGGAGTTTGAAACTTGTATGAGTGAGAGTGAGACACCCCTCCACGGCCCTGCCCCAGTAAACAAATGAAAAACCCAGACAGGCGCTACTGCAAGTGCCTGTAATCCCAGCGGCTTGAGGAGGCTGAGGAAGCAGGTTGTCCACAGCCTGAGTCTGAGGTTGCAGTGAGCTATGATGCCACTACACTCTGCTCAGGTATAGGGTGGGACTCTTGTCTCAACAACAAAAAAGGGCCAGCCACGGTGGCTCACGCCTGTAATCCTAGCATTCTGGGAGGCCCAGGTGGGTGGATTACCTGAGCTCACAGGTTTGAGACCAGCTTGAGTGTGAGACTGTGCCTCTAAAACAGTCAGGGTTGTGGTGGGCACCTGTAATCCCAGTTACTTGAGAGGCTGAGATAAGAGAATTGCTTGAGCCCAAGAGTTTGAGGTTGCTATGAGCAGTGATGCCAGGGCATTGTACTGAGGGAAACAAGTGAGACTGTCTCAAAAAAAAAAACAGGGTTGGCAGACCTGGGCCTGGTGGCTGTTGTAATCCTAGCAACCCTGGAGGTTGAGGTAGGAGGATCACTTGAGGCCAGGAGTTAAAAGTTACAATGAGCTATGATCTTACCACTGTGCTCTCACCTGGCTGATG